TCCTGCGAGGCCCAGTCAAAGGTGGAACAACTGGACCTAGCCGATGCTGCTCCATTTCTAATCTGGACCTTGATGATCTAACCTTTCTATGATGCATAGCCCGAGCCTTTTCCACAATGACCTCCTCAGTCTGATCGACCCCATCATCCTGAACTAGGTTGAATAGCCTTCCCATAGCGCGACTAGCATCGATTAGACTGTCCACATCGAAAGGAAATTTGTCCATCTCCCACTCCTTTTCTTGACTGTCGGGAATACACGACGGGGAAGGCAACTCATCCATAGCGCCAGAATCCTCAGAGCTCCTTATCGGTGATTGTGGGGGGGAAAATGAGCCGCCCGTCAAAGTCGGCGAAGCTCTTTCGAGGGACTGCGGAGAGAGTTCCGGGGAGGGAAACTCGGAGCTAGCTGGGGATGGAACAGAGCTTGAAGAGAAAGGCCCCGTGGCGATGACGGAGATCGAGGCAGTAGACTCGCCGCTCGGATCAAGAATTATGGACATGGAGTGAGGGGCAGGGAAATCAAATAACCAACTCTTCTTTAGCAGGACCACCTTGAACAGCCAGACAAACGGGCTGGGGCAGGGAACAATATAGGTAATTGGGCTCTCCATCATGATATTGGACAGAAAATCAGAAAACCAACGAGGACAAGTGAGGCTCAGTCCTCTGGCCGTGGCCTTGGGCACCACCATCAAATTACTCTCCAAGCCTGACAAATCCGGCCCAGAAGGGTTCGGTGGCCTCGGCCCATACCAAATAGGCCCATGCTTGCGGACCCAAACGTGTCTCATAGCGGAATTATAAAGAGAGTAACTTTTCACCCCTGCTGGCTGCGCAACGGAAACCAAAGCGCCACTCTCCGGGCGGCGCGCTCCATAATGAACTACCCCCATGCAACGTTCGCCCTTTTGCATCGAGCCGCTAACCGATGCGGGCCGATTCAAATCCCCTCTCGCACGGAAACTCGGATCGGAGGATTCACCGGCGTGCAGCACCGGAGATACCTTGACCCAATAACAGTCAGCGCCGAAGCGGATAGGGATACGCTCCGGTAAATCTCCGACGACCCTGACTCCAAGCCTGATCACGTCGGAGGTCCAATGATTCCAATCTATCTCTAGCAACGACCCACAAAACTCACCAATGCTCCTTATCAAATTAACGCTCTTCAAGTGTACCGGAATCCCAGACACCATGACCCACCGTGCTGATGAAACGTCATGCTTCAGAGAGATCTCACTCCAATGGGAAATATCCATGACGAAACTCTTATATCTACACTGGTCAAAAGCCTTGATGCGAAGAGCCTGTTGAATGCTTGGACAAGTGAGGATCCATTTCCCGCCGTTCATACATTCGAAACCGTAGTTAGCATCAATGGCCCAAGTCTTGGTTGCCCATATCACGAAACCATGAGCAGATTCAGCAGAGAACACCTCATCGGTCGTGGGATGGAACCGAATCACCAGACTCCTGCCAAGGAACTCACGCCTCTCCTCCACACCGTCCTTATACACTTCGATAAAGCGTTCCCCACCCGTTCCTCTAATCATACACCTCCCGGCACCGTAAAAACCCCCACCCTTAACCACGTCGGCATAAGATTGTTGCGCAGGGACGGCCAGGCCGGATTTATTGCACGAACTGTCCAAAACAAACCTGTCGCGGTGCAAACGCTCAATCTGGAAGAAATCCTGAAGCAAGGAGATCATAATAGCCCATCCTTTCCCGGTCCCGGAAGATGGGACGAGGATTTTGAAAACACGTCCACTCTTAACTGATTCCGAGATTTGGAGAAAAGCTCCCTTCCTGGTGGTAGCCTTTCCAACATGAATCACACGCTCCCCCCTCCTCTTGACGTACCCGGAACCAAACCGCCATCCATTCATCGCTGACGTTTGCAAAACGCCCTGAAGCCAGGAGAGGTGGAGTTCACTTAACAGGACTGACCAGCTTCTCCTCCCTTCCTTCACACGGATACGATACCAAAACCTCGGTCCACATTCTTCCCTAGAAATTGATACAAGCTTGCTGCCGATCCAAACGTTCCGCGAGCACACCTCCCGACGTACGCCGCCGCCACCACTAGACCTGAACACCTGCGACCTGCACGAACGGAAAGACGAAAGACCATTCGTTAGCGACCCCCCACCCTTGGCGCTCACACGCTCTGGATCTCTCACTCTCTCATGGCCATCTCCGCTCACTTTCTCTCTCATCACTTTCTCTCTCATCACTTTGTTGGGATGTGGAGTTGATCAGATTACGCATCCTTTCCTCATGTTGCCGCCGCGTCTTACCCTGGTGCTCGGATCTCTAATATGGTGGTTCTCTCGAGTGAGAGGGTGGGGGTAGGAAATTCACCTTAATTATACAATGTTACCTCTATTAACCTAATTACATCGACCTAATCTTACAAACTGGTCATATATCTTTTGTGCTTTTACAAACGAGTCTTTTGTCCTAATAGAGACGAAAAATATCACACAACTTATTAAACCAGCCTGATCAACCCTATAGGCTATAGCCATCCAGTTGATCAATAACTCACGGTTGCTTGTCTTTCACCATGCTTAAACAAAAATTGAAAGAGCAATTGAGCATTAAGATCCATCATTTTCCCTCTTTTGGGAAATATAATTTTGACACAAGAGAAATCTTTTGGGCTGTCTTTGCTTCATGGGTTGGCCAGTCACCCATCTTTCTTTCAGTTGTTGCTTTAGTTTGTTAATGTGCTTCCTAAACTTTCTCTAATTTGCTTTATTATACTTGAGATTTTTCTTCATTTATTTTGCACGAGTATCGGCATCATTACTTGTTTTTATTTATTTTTTAAAATAGTTTGTGTAGTTGCGGAGAAGTATTTATGTTAGGGGAACGGGTATGGGCCAAGGAGAAACATGAAAGGGAAGGCCCAAAGAATGGTGCTGATGGGATGCAGGTGTGGGCCCAATCAAAGGAGCCTAGAAAAGCTCATGGGGGCAAGGGTCTTGGGGTGGAAAGCACCCTGGCAAGGGCTTACGTGGCCTAAGTGACGTAGGAGGCAGGTGGGATCGGGCACCTGACGTAGGGCGCATGGGACAAAAGCAGCCAACGGCCGAAAGTGTACGAAAGGCTGACCTAGTGATGTCATGCGCCTCGGACCTCTGACCGCGGTGTCAGATGGTCGAGGCGCATATGCGAGGGAAGTACGGTGCATTTATGGCGGGCCTGACACAGGGCGAGAGCGACGGATACCGGTCGATCTCGCCCCGGGTATAAATAGTCAAGTAGGTGAACCTCATTTACTCAGTTTTGCTTCTCTTACTAGAACTGTTCCTTCACTTCTCTCTCTAAAGGTGGTTTCTCACTTGAGCGTCGGAGTGCTAACGGACCGGGTTGGCCCGCTAGGTGCTCGTGTGGGTGCAGGAGTGCGTCCGCAGGAGAGAGCTACGGAGATTGGAGCGCGGGGCGCGGAGTGGGAGTTTCAAGGCATCAACAATTGGCGCGCCAGGAAGGGGAGAGAGAGGGAAGGCGAAGAGGCTTCCCCAATCCGTTAGTGATCCCAAAATTTGAATTTTGAATCACGAACGGATCGGGGGGGAGAGAGAGTGGAATCGCAAGGGTCACAGTGGCACGGAAAGAAAGGCGGAAGAGGAACAGTCGCAGGAAAATATATAATAGTAAAAAGAGAAAAAGAAAAAAAATATATAAAGTAATCAGTAGTGATAAAGGAGCAAAAGAGAAGTATAGTGTGAAGGGAAGGGCGCATGGCGGATCAGAGAGGGGCACGCGAAGGAGCAGGGAGGGGCGCATAAACATCGTAAAGGAGGCGGAAGAGCAACGAGAGGGGCGTACATACCCTAGAGGAGGTGAATACAGTCAGGCCCCTAACCTTGGGAGTTAGGCGCCTAACTGGGGGGCAATTGTTGGGGGAACGGGTATGGGCCAAGGAGAAACATGAAAGGGAAGGCCCAAAGAATGGTGCTGATGGGATGCAGGTGTGGGCCCAATCAAAGGAGCCTAGAAAAGCTCATGGGGGCAAGGGTCTTGGGGTGGAAAGCACCCTGGCAAGGGCTTACGTGGCCTAAGTGACGTAGGAGGCAGGTGGGATCGGGCACCTGACGTAGGGCGCATGGGACAAAAGCAGCCAACGGCCGAAAGTGTACGAAAGGCTGACCTAGTGATGTCATGCGCCTCGGACCTCTGACCGCGGTGTCAGATGGTCGAGGCGCATATGCGAGGGAAGTACGGTGCATTTATGGCGGGCCTGACACAGGGCGAGAGCGATGGATACCGGTCGATCTCGCCCCGGGTATAAATAGTCAAGTAGGTGAACCTCATTTACTCAGTTTTGCTTCTCTTACTAGAACTGTTCCTTCACTTCTCTCTCTAAAGGTGGTTTCTCACTTGAGCGTCGGAGTGCTAACGGACCAGGTTGGCCCGCTAGGTGCTCGTGTGGGTGCAGGAGTGCGTCCGCAGGAGAGAGCTACGGAGATTGGAGCGCGGGGCGCGGAGTGGGAGTTTCAAGGCATCAACAATTTACTTTTGCACATTTGATTGTTAATTTTTGAAAATAATTAATTTGATATTTGGTATACCGATATCGGACCAAGTACTATTAGAGATTGGATATGGGATGCCGAATTTATGTTGGGATTGAGATTGAATTCAAAATGCTATTTAATGTTCAGAAATTCGTTATTTGACATTGAGATACTGATACCGTAACGATTTCCAAATTATTCGTAAATAGATGTCAATTGGTCAATCAAATAAGTCGATATGGTGTCTAATTAAACGAGAAGTTTTGATTGCACTCGAATAATGACCCTCTAATAATGTGTATTGTTAGCTACTTGCAAGTTGCATCCCTATTCCCTAGTCAATACAGGTACACTGTTTGCAATATTGAGCAGCGTTTAAGGAGAATGATTATTTATTGATACATAAAAAAAAAATTATAGTAACAACAGAAGACTTATTTTTTCCTTTTATGCTTCAACTGAAAGAAGGCTTTTATTTCTGGTCGGACGACGATGATGAGAAGAAGGAATTGAGAGTGGGCATGACTTCCGGCGGCCGCGTGCGGAGGAACCGCCGGAGACCATGCTCGGCGTACTTCTCCCCTTCCTCTCCGTTCTCCAGCACCCCCATCAGCCTCTTATTCTTGTTGATTCTGTGCACACCACAATCAATCAACTTAATCAATGAGACAACAGATTAAGGAATTAAACATGGTTTAAGGAGGGACTTAATTAATTAATTAGCTTTGAACCTGACATCAGGGTTGAGCACAAGGTTCCTGCTCAACTGGAACCCCACCATCGTCACCACAAATCCCATGGCAGCTAGCAGCGGGTAAACCTGCAGGTAGACAGCGCAAGAAGATTAACCCCAAAACTTCATGTAGAATTGATTCATTGAAACAGAAAAAGTTTGTGACAGAGAGACAGAGGGAGATGGCTTGCCTCTGGTTTCATCCAACGAGAACCCATTTCTAAGCTAAGGCACTGCTTTCTGTAATTTCCCACTGATCAAACAGATTATACTGTGTACACAAGTTCTTGTGGTTAATATATATATGTGTGTGTGTGCGGTGTGATATTTCTAGTCTGGAAATTTGTTCCTGCGTTTGAATTGGTCATAATAATAATAATAATAATAACATGTTGGCTCGTCGTAGCAATACATTCAACAAGTCTAAGATACTACATGTTTCCAGTGGGCTGGAGTTCAAATACAGTTGGCTGTCCAAAACAGGGGATTTTAAGCCTCCGGCAGCATGGCGTATCAAATTGCAGTAATACATATATATGGTCTGTCTAGCTATGGATGTGCTCCCTATAATTTATATATGTTAACTTTTAGAAAAATAAACATTTTTGTTCGTAACAGATTTTAACTGTGAGATAAAATGATTGAGTAGGCGTACTAATATGTTAAATTATCAAAGTAATTAAACTTGTTTATCCCTTCAACGACTTTTAGTTTTAACGATTTTGGGATAGATAGTAAATAGTTTTGTCATTTAGGCATTGTTGTAATAAGAAATTGGTCGAATTGGGGTTGATGAGTCAAATAGTTTGTTTATTAGTATGTTTGTGTTTTTTGTTAATTAAGTTTACCTCTTTGCAAATCCATATAGTTGCATATAATTAAATATATGGTCAATTATACATGACTGATAAGAATAAGCCGTTACATTTGTCTGGATCGAAAATTTTGGAAAGAACCAACTAGTAGCACACATATTTGTCCTTCTATCAAAATTTCGAGCGGATTAATCCTAGAAAGCAAATTTGTAAGAAGACTTATATAAATTTCGTGGAATTGAAATTATATAACACTAATCCATACAATTTTTACTTTTTATTTTCAAGTTGGGTCCATGAACCCCCCCCCCCCCCCCCCCCCCCCCCCACATCCTCTCATGTGACACCTCCAAACATATAAAGATGTATCGACGCATTGATTGACCGAAATCTGAAATTATAAACACATAAATATCTAAACCAGTCTAATCAAAGTTTTAGTCATCCCATAAATGAATACGTCGTGAATATTTTCTTACGTCTTAACCATTGCTTAACACTTAAAATTAAAAAATGAATGAAGAAATTGGATATTACGATCCATCATTTTCCTTTTTATGACAAACAGAATTTTGACACATGAGAAAACTTTTGTGCTGTTTTTGCTTCATGATCAAAGAAATGCATCAGTCGCATTCAACTAGAACCCACTACCGTTGCGATGTTAACCTCGGAACAACTCCGTGTATCTCCGCCCCCCCAATTCGTCACGTAACTTTGCTTCAAAAGCTCGCAACTGGAGAAAAAGAAAAAAAGAAGTTCCAGAATCGGACAGACTGTGACACAGCCAGCCATGAACATGTGCTCTGTATATAATACAACAAACCAAGCTTAACAACCAGTAGTTAGGCCGCTCTGTTGTGCCCCCTGACTTCCTTTGTTTCCCAAGTCATCTCTCCCATTAAAGCTGAAGAACACCTCTGCTTTTCCAGATATTGCAGTAGGCGCCCCTCTCTTCCAAGATGATCAGAATCGCAGTGCCAATTGTCTCCCTTCTGCTGCTTTTCACTTGTGCGGGTGAGAACTTCACAGCAATCTTGCTCAATCTCTCCGCATTATAGAGGGAAATCAACTCTTCCGGTTTCACTTAATTTATTTACCGTTGTGCTCTGTTTTGACTCTGTTTTTTGCTCTGTTTTACAGCTGCATATGATCCATTGGATCCCACCGGAAACATCACAATCAAATGGGACATTGTATCTTGGACAGCCGACGGGTACACGGTAAGAGCATTAACTTGGCCAAGAGCAGCATTAACCTAAAATAACAAAACACATTGTAAGATTGGAACTAACAATTACTCTGTTTTTTTTCTTTCTTCCTCCTCCCATCATCATCACAGGCGGTTGTGACATTGAACAACTTCCAGCTATACAGGCACATAATGAATCCAGGGTGGACAATGGGCTGGACGTGGGCGAAGAAAGAAGTGATATGGGCGATGAACGGAGCACAGGCAACAGAGCAAGGCGACTGCTCGAAATTCAAAGGCAACATCCCCCACAGCTGCAAGAAAACCCCCACGGTGGTGGACTTGCTCCCCGGTGTGCCTTACAACCAGCAGTTTACGAACTGCTGCAAAGGCGGTGTGGTCGCGGCGTGGGGGCAGGATCCATCGGCGGCGGTTTCCCAGTTCCAGATCAGCGTTGGGCAGGCGGGGACGTCGAACAAGACCGTGAAAGTGCCCAAGAACTTCACCTTGCTTGGTCCTGGACCTGGCTACACTTGCGGCCCTGCTAAGGTTGTGCCTTCCACTAAGTTCCTCACTCCTGATCTCCGCAGGAAAACTCAGGCACTCAGTAATGTCCAAAAACTCTCTCTTATTCCAATTTGTTTAGATTGTAATTTGTCACTTCTACTAACTACTTTGTTACTTGAGGATTACAGTGCAATTAGATTGACGTGTGGTTGTTTTGACATGTGGAAATGAAGTGACTTGGAACGTCACTTGTACATACTCTCAGTTTCTAGCAAGGAAACATCCAAGTTGTTGTGTGTCCCTATCGTCCTTCTACAATGACACCATCACTCCTTGCCCCTCATGTGCTTGTGGCTGTGAAAACAAACACACATGCGTCAAGTGAGTTTCGTCGTCACTAGAGAAGTTCAACAGATCGAATTTCAGTGTCGCATGCTCATCGCTAACTTTCTTGTGCGCTCAATGTATCAGTAACGACGCCAAGATTCTGAGCATGGCTGGGATCCACAAGCCAAGAAAGGACAACACCTCACTGTTACAGTGCACGCACCATATGTGCCCGGTTCGAGTCCATTGGCACGTCAAGACCAACTACAAGGAGTACTGGCGTGTAAAAGTTTCGGTCACCAACTTCAACTACCGAATGAATTACACATTGTGGACTCTGGTCGTCCAGCACCCCAATCTCAACAATGTCACCCAAGTCTTCAGCTTTGATTACAAGCCTCTGGTTCCCTATGAATCCATCAGTGAGTCAAATGGATAATGATATCCGTATATAAGTACTTCTCACGAATAACTGAGTTTCGTTAACTGGGTTTTGAATTGCTGATTGCAGATGACACGGGGATGTTCTATGGGATGAAGTTCTTCAACGACGTGCTAATGGAAGCGGGGCCACTAGGGAATGTTCAGTCAGAGCTCCTACTGCAGAAGGATGCAAACACCTTCAGCTTGCGGCAAGGGTGGGCGTTTCCTCGAAAGGTGTACTTTAATGGAGATGAGTGTATTCTACCCTCTCCGGATTCATATCCTTTCCTGCCAAATTCTGGCCGTAAATCTGATTTCTTGGGCCTGTGGAGCACTTTGATTCCTGGCTTGTTGTTGGTGTTGTTATGCTTCGGCTAAAGTTGCGCTCTTGAGCTTGATGGGCTTGGGAGATAAGTGAGAAAGAGATGTTCAGACATTTTGACAACACAGTTTATGAGCATATGCACACTTGTGTATAATTAGTAGAAATTCTTTCATAGAGAAATGAGGAAGTATTGGAGTTACCAAGTTGGGGCATTATACTGAACAATTTATACGCACGAATATCCAATTTTGGAAGTTCGTTTTCCTATTTGTTAGGATAAGTATCCATTTCTTGTTCATATACAAAAAAATTATTTAAGAATAATAAAGCCAACATTATTCACAAGTTTTGCCGTTTCAGGTTCTTTCATTTTGCTGAAATCAAGTTTTGGGATTTTGGATTGAATATTCCTTGACCGATGTTTTGATACTTTGTGATGAAATCTAAAATACGGAACAAAACGTGGCATAGAGATATAATTAATTATCCATAAACATTTCCAAATCTTGTTGTAATTGCACCCATATTTATGATGCAATCAATGGCTAGCTGTTAGCTTGATACCAATTTTGGCGAGAACGGCAAATCCCCATTTCCATGATTTGATCACCCAACTCAAACCCTTTCCCACATTCCCCACAAAAAAATCAAGACCCGTACTTTGTGTATAAGACAGCAAATGGTATCCAGGACAGAGCCATCCGCCATATCTGGTTCTTACGAAGCTTAGTTATTACCCCCTCTCTGTTTTGTTCTGAATGAAGCTTCGCGCCTCGTGACAGCGAATGCCAAAGATCTAACCCTCTTATAAAACCAGACACACTGAATCAAAATCTCCATCTCTCTCCCCATCCATCCATCGGCCACAGGGAGAAGAAAGAAAGAACACTTTCTTTCTTCCCACCTTCGCCCACCCAGCAACACCACCAATCGGGGCAGTAATCCGATCCGATGGGCACTACTTCAGGTATGATGAAACCGATCAGCTGGGTGTTGTTGGCGGCGGCGCTAATCATGGCTTTTGGGTGCTCAACGGGGGAAGGCAAGGTCAGGCAGACAAACTCTGTTTCACTCTCACCCCTGTTCTTGATTTCAATTCTTCTTCTTCTTCTTCCAAAGAAGCAGGGGGGAATTGGGTTTAATTGATGCTTTTGTATGTAGGTGGGCGATAAATGTTCGTCGGACCAAGATTGTGGAGCAGGGCTCTACTGTTTCAGTTGCCTGGAGAAAGTAACGTCCGGCGCCATTTGCGTTAGATCCACCACCACAAACCAGTTCCAGCTCCTGGTAAAAAAAGTTTCCCTCTTCCTTCTCTGTTTTTCTTTGTCTTTCCCTTCAAAATTGGTTCACTTTCCATATCTGAAAAAGATACCGCACTTGCCGATCACTTTGTGTTTTTTTGCTAAAAAGGACGGAAAAGCTTGTTCTTGTTGTTTAGAAATCATCAATTCATCCCTTGTACGTAATTCACAAGAATTTCCGGGAGGATAAGGTTGAGAAATGACAGATGATAGAAAATGTCAAGTTTGATCATTTGGTACGAATTCGTTAATTTGGTGTATGAATTTCTACCTTTGAACATTGCGCGCGATATTATTAATTTGCTAGAATTTGAAGACGTAACAATAATCATAATTAACGTATCAAGGTAACAAAAAAATTTAAGTGTTAAAATGTACCAAATGATCAAATCAAAACATCCTAAAGGTCAAAGTGGGATTTTTGTCATTAGTATAGGTGGGAACCAGTGACATTCTCCTAGGAATGTTCACATAGTTGGTTGGTGACTTGGTTCTTTTTCACATTTGGTTGAAAATGAAAACAAGGCTGGCAGATATCTCCAAGTAGTTGGGCGGAGTACCAACCAATTTGGTAGACAAAAGGGATGGATTAAGAGTGAAAGAGTCAGACATATTGAATTTCCCTTGTGCTGTGGGCTTTGACAGGGGACACCCCAAAATTGTAAAATTGTATTGGATGTTATATATCGGAAAAATTAATAATAGTATATTTTGTAATGAAATAATTGTTTTGTGGTTTCATATTGTTAATATCGCCTACTCTTGGACTCTGACAAGCAATTTTCCCAGTAATACCATCAGTATGGTTTTGCAAACACTAGTAATCACAAATTGTGTAGTCCATCGGTGTTTCGAATATAAAAAATTATGTTGATCAAATGTTTGAGTCTTAGGAGATAATCTATGAAAATTTTAATTTTCTCAGAATATTATATATATATTAATTTTTTCTGATTTTTCTATATATTTTGAACTTTTAAACCCATTTTCAAACATATTTCTCAAATGACACTAAAAAAGCGTATTTTCAATTTTCCATTCCCAATTTCGAACGCGGCTGAAGGCCCACGATTACTGTTTTTCTGTTTCTTTTACTAGATTAGCTCATGAAACCCAAAGAATTGTTGGGCCTTACTAAAAGATGTTCTCATTGTCATTTTCTTCTAGTTAGGCCCTTCAAAACAGATTGGGCTAAAGGGCCGGGAATCTGAATATGAACATTGAAGAATTAGGAGTTGCTTTGCTTGCTCCTCTCGTATACTTCTCATGTTTTCCTATCCCAACTAATCAAATTTTATGGTTGGTGAAACAGAACAACTCTCTGCCCTTCAACAAATATTCATTCTTGACAACCCACAATGCATTCGCCATCGATGGGTATCCGCAGCACACTCCGATACCTCGAGTCACTGAAACGAATCAGGAAGATAGCATCACCACCCAGCTTAACGTAAGTCATCATGTACTTCACCTAAAAACTAATAAAAAAAACTAATTTGGCTACCAAAGCAAGCATAAGCATTCAGACTAAACGTATTCACTCATTACATCGAGAATCGGATAGTTGTTACGCGTATAAATGACTGATTTTTATGAGTTCATGATGGCAGTACATCTATAATGTTGATTCTCGATCAAATGATTAAGCAATGAGCATGTATAAGCATATGTTTTTTTTTTAATGTTTTAACTCCAAAATTCTGTTTTTGTATCCATTAACTAAAACCTGATGATGGGTCTCTTTCTTTCTCCATCAGAATGGAGTCAGGGCACTAATGCTCGACGTCTACGATTTCCAAGGCGACGTTTGGATGTGCCATTCCTTCGGCGGCAAGTGCTACGATTTCACTGCCTTCGTAATCCCCAAAACCCTCCCCTGTTTCTCCCTTTCTTCTTGTAAACCAACTTCCTGATGTAAATTAACTTCCCCGACGCTATAACAAAACACAGGGTCCAGCAATTGACTTCTTGAAGGAGATCGAAGGTTTCATGTCGGCAAACCCATCGGAGATCGTCACCATCATCCTCGAAGACTACGTCAACGCCGACAAAGGCCTGACCAAAGTCTTCACCGACGCCGGGCTCATGCCGTACTGGTTCCCTGTCTCCAGCATGCCCAAGAACGGCGGCGACTGGCCGCTCGTCAGCGACATGGTGAAGAACAACCAGCGCCTCCTCGTCTTCACCTCGATTTCGGCCAAGGAATCGAGCGAGGGCATCGCTTACCAGTGGAATTACATGGTCGAGAACCAATGTCAGTATTTCAAAACCCAGTTCAGTTCATAGATTGAGATGGCAGAGGAGGACTTGATTGTCAATTTTTTTTAATTGGGGGGGCCAGATGGGGATGGTGGGATGAAATCGGGGAGCTGTCCGAACAGGGCGGAATCTTCGGGTATGAACGACACGACGAAGTCGCTGGTGCTGATGAACTACTTCAGGTCGACGCCGATGAAGGCACTTGCTTGTGGGGATAACTCTGGGGGTGTGATGGACATGGTTGCCACTTGTGAAGCTGCTGCGGGGGACCGATGGGCTAATTTCTTGGCCGTCGACTACTACAAGGTACTCGTTTTGTTTCGAATCAATTGATTTCAGTAACTCGATTTGTGCAGTGAAATAAATTATTTCTGAGGAAGGTGACTGAATGTGTTGTTTTGTTTGGGGGTGGACAGAGAAGTGAAGGTGGAGGAGTGTTTCAAGCTATGGACACTCTGAATGGGAAGCTGCTCTGTGGGTGCAATGACGTTCATGGCTGTGTGGTAAGCAGTAGTACTAGTCAACATGGCTTACAGTCTTGTTATTCTGATGATGACATGTATTACATGTGATATTCGACTTGTTAACACTACCTTATGTATTTAAACTCTCTCTGTTAAAGTCTTGCAACCAATGTTTCTAGACTGAACAATCTCTGCTTTGTCCATCCATGATTGGGTTGAGCGCGTTAAATGGATATGTTGGAGTTAACTTAGTTAATCTGTGACGAGGTACACGATATAATGAGTCAATAGATATAGAAGAGTAAACTCAAAAGATTACAATGCTTATTTAAAACTTTCCAAATTTCTGTTGGGGTGAGGTCCTATATATAGATTTATGTTTCTAGTGACAATACATAAATTCCACACTCCGCGTATAGCATGATTGAGGTTGAAAATGTTTGAACCTTTAACTTCTGAGTCAATATTTTTGCATGCATGGCCACTCAATAGTAGTTAGTTACATTTAATGGATGTTCGAACAACCAATTCGACCACTCAATAGTAGTTAGTTACATTTAATGGATGTTCGAACAACCAATTCGACCATAGGTCCAATGTTGGTGCGGTTTTACTAAAAGAAAACATATGTAAACCCAGTTGTCATTTTCTTTTAAAAAAAATGTATTCTCTTGTTGTCTATTTCTTATATCTGATTTAGATTAGACTATGATCTCGTTGCATACTAGAATTATGGAATAATGAGTGATTCTTAAATTAAGCATTTTGCGATCCACATTTGTTGAATCACATGTACCCTGAGACCTGAGTCATTGGGTATCTCTAAATGGATCCTGCTATGTGGATCCTGCTTATATGTCTGCGTGTATTTTGTAGGCTGGATCAGATTCAGCGGCCTGCAATCCTTGACATATGCGGCCCAATGTGGAACCCCACGGTTGCAATTTTTGGACAGGATTCAAGCAAACAGCAAGACAAATGTATGTAGGAAATCACTCAGCATATGAAGTTCAAAAAGAAGCTATAAATTTTTATTTTTTTTATGTTATCACTTCAAATATCATTAGTGTGGATTATTTGCAAATCCTTGAATGAAGGAAAAGAAGAGAGTAAAAGTTGTGTCATTGTTTGGGGCTCTGTTGTACTTTTAACTTATGTAACTACTAAAATAGATGAGGAAGTTATGTGTAAAGTTTCGGTATGTGATAATATTCAGCATATGATACGAGAGTTTAATTTATTTATTTATATTGGCTGCTCTGTTGAAAAAGCGTGCACGAACTTTTGATAACTAAAATCAACAGGTCTCATGTATCTTTCTGCAATCGCTGCCATTGGAAATGATCTTTTAGTCCATATACGATGGATTTTGCATAGACGGACCTTTCGACAATCATAATTTGTATTTTTTATATAATTTACTATTAGTTGATGTCCCGTTCTACCTAATTATTTTTCATGGGTTATTTCATTTATTTAAGAACATAACTCAAACACAAAGCCTTAGGAACCTCTGATTGTTGTTTCATGCTCTTTTTTCCTTTTGACAAAAAGCCTCACTCTTATTAGCTGACAGTTAGTATTCAGATCAACCCTTCGCTAGATCTCATACTTAAGCATTTTGAAGTATTAAACTCGAATGTTGTTTTGTCTTAACCTATTATTATACTAGCTTATAACCCGGCCCGTTGGCCGGAATATTCATATTTGATTATGGCCGGAATATTCATATTTGATTATTTATATTTTTAAATTACATTTATATCTATCAACCCGTATAATTTTATTGACAATCTTTCAATTGATGATACATAAAGAAAGAATATATAGGTCAAACATTTGAAGAAATTTCATCATCATTTAAGAATATAAAATATAAAAAATATATCATCGATCTCATTTTCATAATGATAATTAAGTCTCTGGTAAAATGCTATTGGTTAGTTGATTGTCAAGAAAGATAGAGTAGAAAAACTCACTGAAATTCCCACACGAACCATAGATAGTTCGAAACTAAATCTTAAACCTGGCATTCCTACATAAAGGCTCAATGCTTTCATTTAGAACAATATGCCACTAATCAAAAAGAAACGGAGAGTTGTTGTTTCAAGTCAACTATATACTAACAATTCAGCTAAGAGGGGACCATAAAAACTTGAGAACAAACGCCAAAATTATGGTTACCTCCAATATACTAATAGACTCTATCAAAATATAAGGAACAAAATTAGACACTCCTCATCTATCAGTCCAGTAGGTTGAATAAGGAATCGACAGACCTAATTTAGTAAATCAATCAATGATTTCTCGTTTTAAGATAGAAATAAGTTGTGATATCTTCAAAAACCATAGACCTAAAGATCCAATAGCCACCACTATGTATTGTACAATCAAATTTTTATAAACTTTATCTTCAATCTCAAGAGGCATATGTTTCAACCAAAAATTCAATTTCTAATCCTCCTTTTGCAGAGCACTTCTACTATGCTATATAGCATTGGTGCTTTAATGTACAACTCAAAGTTGTACCATAACATAAAATGTATAAGTTTAGGTTGTACCATAAATCAATTTGTACCATTATGTTATGGTACAACTTTACAACTTGAAGTTGTACCATCACATAAATGTACAAGTTCAAGTTGTACCATAAAAGAATTTGTACAAAAAAGTATAGGTACAATCTGAAGTTATACCATAACGTAAATGTACAATTTTAAATTGTACCATAAAGGCAAAAACCTATAGCACCAATACTATATAGCATTGTATAATTTCTCCCTTTTGCAACTCCATTCTATTCGCCATAGATTGATATCGGAGTTGAAATCTTCTACTTGCTCAGTTTAAATCCCTAACAATAAAATCGTAATGCCAAGAGATGCCGGAAGATTGATTTTCAAAGGCAGACTTGTAAAGTGAAAGGGGAGCAAACTATTGAGCGATGGAGAGAATTTTAGAGGATTTAAATATAAATCCTCTAAATTTAAGAATAAAGATAAAAAAGTAATAAATTTAAATATAATTTGAAAAATGCAAGGAGACAACACGCAGTAATAGAATAGTCTCTTCCATAAAAATACATGAAACTTTGATATTAAAATTGCAGTATCAAGCACCATAAAATAACATACAGTAGACTTAGTGGGCTTGCTAATCATGATGGAATAGTCCACCGATTTTGAAAGTGTCACTTCGTGTATGTTTTGTATTAAAAAGGATACAACAAATATGTTTAGTGTAATTGGTTGTGATTGTTGTCTTTGTTTGAAGAGAACTGGGTTCAAATCCTGATATTGATATTTTTTATATGAAATAGTAAACTTATATAAAATAACATACAATAGACTTACTGGGCTTGCTAATCATGATGGAATAGTCCACCGATTTTCAAAGTATCACTTCGTGTATGTTTTGTATTAAAAAGGACACAACAAATATGTTTAGTGTTATTGGTTATGATTGTTGTCTTTGTTTGAAGAGAACTGGGTTCAAATTCTGATATTGATATTTTTTATATGAAATAAATAATTAATTGTAAAAACAAAAATACCCTTCCTATTTTCACTCTCGTTGTAGGAAATTTGAAATGAAGAAAAATAGACAAAACTCTACCATATATTATTGGAGGAAGGATGTGTTGAGTCATCATGTATACGCGTGTCTGACGGGGTTGACATCCTCCAAATGTGAGACACATATATTAGCTAGTAGTAATGTGACTCATACATCTTAATTAATCATTTGATGACATAACAAATAATGTTTAATTGAATAACTCATCGTATGATTTTCTGCTCTACTTAGCAGGCTAGTGACTACTTATACGTTTAATTTGAAAACAAACTTCATCGTACTTACCTGACAAACAAAGACGACCTAAAATTCCCAAAAATAAAGTCAGAAGCTATGCTAGAATCTTTGATTATGGAAGATTGAATCGTGAAAAGTGAATAAAATACAGAGGATTATAGTATATATCAGCGTGGCCCCATCAGTTGGCCGGAGGAAGGTGAGGTATGAAATTTGGTAATGTAATCGGGTGTATAGCTTACTGTCGTATAGTTCTTTTTGGGAAACACGTGATAAAAATAGTAAACTTTAGCAGGAAAAAGACATGAATGATGCAACGAATCAAAAATTAGCCTTATGAAACAAAATTAAGTACATGTTACCTTGTGAAACAATATTGTTTCTGGTAGTATGATGAGGTGGAGTAAGTTTTACAGAAACCAAATTCCAGAAAATCGAATAAAAACTCGCCTGTCCCACCGGTTCTCGGGAAATGAGCATCTCACAATCGTTGCTAGCTTTTACTCGGCCTGTTGACCGATTAATTTGCTTTATAAAACTTTCATCTTGTCGTCATTGTGCTTTCTGCTTTTTGCCAGGCCATGATAAAATCTAAAGAAATCAAGAACGAAGAATACGATTTGGGATAGGAATCGTCGTTTCTGTATCCCTAGAAAATGGTGGTAAACACGGACTCACCTGCCAAACTGGTTTGGATTGAGATTTTTATCGGGTATCGGGGAACAACATGATTATAAATTAGACTTGATCAAAACGGGCCAAAACTTGAAATTCAGCATGTTTGACCGACCCATGCCAAACTCTAATGATTCTTAGTTTTCAACTTTCTATTTGAAAATAAAAAATAGTGAAAGAAAAGAGATGACTGCAATTCACCATTTGCACATCACTGATTCGGGAATAAAACCATAGAAATTCTAAAGGAAACGGAAAATGTTTAGGATCGTTTTAATGTTAAAAATAACCAAATAGATCTTTCTGTTTAGTTTTTACTAACAAATATCAAACGATTCCCTATGAAATACACTATAATTTAATCATTATGATATCAAATACTTACATAATATATATTTGAAATCATAAAAATTGAACTAATTGGGACGGTCGAGGTTGAACCATTGAATAACTTTAAAATACATTATATTTTAGCCACTAATATATAAAATAATAGCATAATATATCTTATGATAGAGAAAATAGTTTGTTTTAGAATGGCAAACCCATTATGTTAATTTGTTTTACTTGATGGCCAAATCCCGTGTAGGTCAGGCCCATTCAACTCTTTTATTTTATGATTAGCGGTTAGCCTATTAGAATTCATGCATTAGATTATTGTTAAATTTTTTTTAGCAATAAAAATGAGTATTTTATTTTGCCTTTTCATATATATTTTACCACCACTGAGAAATAAAAGGGCTTAAAGAAAAAAATTGACACTTCTGAACCCGTTTAAATCCGCATGTGTACGGTAAGTTGGCCGTTCCACAGAGCAAAGAGAAAAAAATTGACACTCCCTATTCTACCATTCCTACAAATGCTCATGGAGTAGGGAATTTGAAATGGGGGAATGATTTTTTCTCCCTGCTATTATATGTTTTTAGTTTAAAAAGATACAACAAATGTACTTAGTGTGATTGGTTATAATCCTTGATTTTCTTTAAAGTGGTCATGGTTCGAATCCCAATACGTGTCTTTTTAATGAATAAAAGATTGGTAATTGTGAAGACCAAAATGCCCTTCCTACTTTCACTCTCGTTGCAAGAAATTTGAAATGGAGCAACAGTTTTCCCCTTCCTGCTATTATATATTGTGTAGATTGTTTATTTTAATCTTATTTTAACTTTGATATAAGTCAAAATTAAAAGTGGTCATTGATCCAAGAGAAGTTGAAATTAACAGCTATAGGCCCATGATATTTATTTCACTGTAGCTAACCACCACCACATGGTCACCGCAACACTCTCTGAATCATTGGTCAAACCCACGATGTGAAAATACATACAAGTCTACAACTCAGTCAAAGTGCCCAAACCCCAATCCACATAGTTAATCTCTGTTTACTAAAAACATCATTAATCCAAGAAAATATTGACAATAACAGCTCTAGCTGCTAGTAAGTAGTCAGACATTTTGTCTTCGAGTTTCTCAATTATAGATTTACTAATTTTTGTATTCTTGAGATTTTGGGTTTGAATGCCGGCAATCGCTACTACTTTGTTATTCTTGTGGCGGTCGAAAGCGTCTCATATTGCATCGTACTACGTTTGATAAAAGATACTATATAGTCAGGGGCGGATACATGGAGGTTTAGGGGCGTCCCGGGACACCCCTAAAATTTGAAAAAACGATTATCCAATCTTCGATAGTAGTTTGTGTATGGGTAAAAAAAATTAGTGATAGTGGAACACCCTTAAAATATGGAAAATGATTATTCAAC